CTTGTCGAGTAACGCGTTTACTATTAGCAAGACACAACGCTTGTGCAACTTGCGCGCGTTCGACGAAATATTGGAATTCTGCAGGAGCCAAAATTGGCGGCTGACTTTGCAAAAAAAGTGTGCGCCGAGCATTGCGATATTGGATCTGCTCTGTTCTCGATCGATAACTCGGGAGATGTTGCTTGAAATAAGGATGGAGGACAACTCAGAGTTCCTCTGATTTCTTATTTTTATTCGAATGGTAAACTTCGCTGGATTTGAGTTAGGTTTTATTTGAATAGTAATTTTACTTTTACATTGACATGCGAGTGTCTGATGACACGTGAAATATTATCTTGAACCGTCTGCATTGCTTGGAAAAACTAAGCTTAAGACTAATAAAAATTCTTTCGTTTCTGTGAATTACTTCGTAGATAATTCCAAGGAAAGTGTCATTTCTCGCGGGAATCGAAGAATCGACAAAGCTCGTCAGTTCAACATCTAAAGTGATTCATAATTTGTAAAAAGAAAATTCGAAATTTCTGAAATTTAGAGTAAATCTAAAAGTTCGTAAATAACTCCAAGAAATAATTCAAAAAGTAAAAAAGTATCATTTCTCGCGAGATTGAGAAATCAACAAAAAGATGGTTTGTGAAAAGTTCGAAATTTCCGAAAATTAGGAAGTTTGAGCGACGAATCATAGGACATCCTAAGATTGACAAAAATTCTTTCTTTCCCGTTGTTACTTTATAAATAATTCCAAAAATATTCGAATAGAAAATCAACCTCTGAAAGGATTCGTGATTTGTTTGATTAAAAAAAAAAAAAAAGAAAAAAAATTCGAAATTTCCGAGATTAGGAAGGACGAGTCGTAGATAGGTGACATGATTTCGTAGCGATGGGTGTTATATCGACGGTTATGGAATCGTGAATGTACACGGGTCAGTGTACCTGATAATACACTAACCTCCCGGCGATGGGCCCTGCGGGCCACCCAGCCATCCGGAGGACCAACCTGCACTTCCTCCTATATTCTGCTGCTGCTTCGCCAGCAGTCTCACTGTCAACGCGTACGTAAGCAGCATCACGCCCAACGGTATGTAAAAGCAGATTATGCTGCCGATCAGCTTGTACAGAGGGTCCGGTATTTGGCAGGCACCGTCCACCAGCACCGACTCGTCCTCCTGAAACATGCAGGATTATGCACTTATTGCCGCGGTGTTGTTTGATATTTAACCAATTTTATTTCAATATTACAAAAATACGTCAGTACGTTCAAATATACACAGAGTGGTTAGAATTAACAGTTACCTCTGCTCGTTTTCGAAAAATACGAGCGAGCTTTAACTAAGTTGTGTAAATGGAGTTGTTATGAGAATATGGCAGCGTATAATTTTGTTCTCTTAGCTGGTGGAATTTCAGAGATCAGCGGGTTTTAAATATGTAAATGGATCTCTGTAAAGGAAAATATTTAAACGTAGAATATCATCAATATCCGTCCGCAATCTAATTTTCATTTTCCACTGTTCGATGACGCGAAGATCGAACAATCAAAAAAAAAAAAAAAAAAAAAAA